GCAGCTCCCTAGAGAGGACAGGAAGTCCATCAAGGCTGTGAGGAGATCTGCCCCAGAAGGCTGCAGGAGGGAGAGTCATTTCCTGGGCGGGAAGGGCTGTTTTGGATATAGTGGAGCTTTTGGGCGGGAAAGCCAGCCTAGGAGAATGGAGGCCGGTCTGCCTGAAGCCTGGAGCCAGTCAGGCCGTCGGCCGGAGTCTGCAGGAGGAGGCGGGCAGAGAGGCCCTGCTGGGAGTGGGGCTAATCTAACCCCCTCCATTGAGAGCAAGTCGTGTGCCTGCCCTGCGGACCCCCTCCAGGCAGGGCCTATCCGTGTAGAGAAGGGGGAGAGGGGGAGCGATTCATTATCCACCTTTGTTTTGACTCTTCAGTTCACTATTAATAGGCCTGTATAGAGTTGAGTGGTTTCCAAATAAATCCTTTTATTGTTGACATTGAGAGGTCCCTCTGCACCGCCTAGTTCCCCCAGCCGCTTGGACACGCTGGGAGTGAGTTGGGGACTCCCTGAGGAGGAGAACAAGGGCAAAACGGCCAGTTGCCAACTCTCCAGGGGAGCCCCAAAGATTGCCAGGAAGCCCCGAGGTGGGTTCCTAGCAACCATCAGAGGGAGGTTAGGAGGCTGCCCCGCCAAACCAGAGCCCAAGACAGGGACAGTGGTGGCAGCAATACCCGGAGGCAGTGGTGAAAAACTGCCCCTTCAGGGGCCAGGGCACGCAAAGGAGGGGTGGGCGGAGCGGGGTCTGCCAGCTGATGCGGGCCCGTTCCGCCACACCCACAATACAAGAACTCCTTGTGGGCACACCATGTAATTGCTGAGCGGTCGGGTTAGAACGGATAAAAGGAAGTCCTTCTTCACCCACAGAGTGATTAACAACACATGGGATTCACTGCCACAGGAGGTGGTGGCGGCTACAAGCAAGGACGGCTTCAAGAGGGAATTGGATAAACATATGGAGCAGAGGTCCATCAGTGGCTATTAGCCACAAGGTATAGATAGGGGCTCTGGGGCAAGGGATGCTCTGTCTTCTTGGTGCTTGGGGTGGGGGTCAACAGTGGGAGGGCTCCTAGTGTCCTGGCCCCACTGCTGGACCTCCTGGTGGCACCTGGTATTTCTGGCCACTGTGTGACAGAGTGTTGGACTGGATGGGCCATTGGCCTGATCCAACATGGGCGTCTCTTAGGTTCTTATGTGCTGGTATTCTGTTCCAGTGAGCGCTGCCACAAAAAAGCCCCACGCCTCCCCATGCAGTCCACAGTTGGCTCTCACAGATGGCCGGCGTGCTGACAAGTGAACCCACAAGGCCCTCCGCGGCCCCCTTGTGAGAACAGACCCTTCCCTGCCCAGGGCGCCCTGCTCCCAAGGAAGGGGATCCCACAGCCTCCTCTCCTGTAGACTCTTCTCCTGCTGGAAGGGGGAGTGGAACCGACAGACAAATCTCTTCCTCCACACTCTCCTTTCAAGCCACAGAGGTGGGTCTGTTCGTTTCCCCCACAAAGGCAGAAAAAGAAAACTGCAGGTGGGAAAAGCCACCTTGCTGGCGTGCCAAATTTCGGTGAGGAAGACTCAAATATCCTCACTCCTTATGACAAAGGATTTTTGTGTGTCGTGTCAACACACCGGGGGGCCTAGCCATGGTGCAGGAGGGCCCTCTGCTCTGTATCTAGACATGCTAACCAAGGCCATCTTTAAAAACAGAAGTCGCCGTGCGCAGGCACACACCCACACACACCCTTCGCAGAATAACCCTCCTCAAGACCCTCTCTCCTCGTTTCCTGACAAAAATCCACCAAGAAAAGTTTCAGTTGAGTCCCCACCTGTCAGGACAAACACGGCATCCCCAAAAAGGGAGAGACTGGCCTGTCTGGTCCATGTTGGACCAGGAAGAACAAACAACACAAGAAACCACAAGAACCCTGATCAGGCCAGGCAGGGTCCATCTACTCCAGCACCCTGTCTGTCACACAGGTGTCAGCCAGCCCCTCTCGAGGGCCAGCAACAGGGCAGGGAGGCCGAGGCCTTCCCCTGATAAGACCCTCAGAAGAGCCCTGCTGGGCCAGACCAAGCAGAGTCCCTCTAGTCCAGCCTCCCGTCTCACACAGGGGCCAGCCAGTTCCTCTGGAGGACCAACAACAGGGCAGAGAGGCCGAGGCCTTCCCCTGATAAGAACACCAGAAGAGCCCTGCTGGGCCAGACCAGTGAGGGTCCACCTAGCCCAGCCTCCCGTCTCACACAGGGGCCAGCCAGTTCCTCTGGAGGGCCAACAACAGGGCAGAGAGGCCGAGGCCTTCCCCCGAGAAGAACACCAGAAGAGCCCTGCTGGGTCAGACCAGGGAGGGTCCCTCCATTCCAGCCTCCCGCCTCACACAGGGGCCAGCCAGTCCCTCTGGAGGGCCAGCAACAGGGCAGAGAGGCCGAGGCCTTCCCCTGATAAGGACACCAGAAGAGCCCTGCTGGGCCAGACCAGGGAGGGTCCCTCTAGTCCAGCCTCCCGTCTCACACAGGGGCCAGCCAGTCCCTCTGGAGGGCCAGCAACAGGGCAGAGAGGCCGAGGCCTTCCTCCGATGTTGCCTCCTGGCTCTGGGGCTCAGAGGTCGACTGCCTCTGAACGTGGCGGTTCGCTTTAGCCACCATGGCTAGCAGCCGACTGACAGACCTGTCCGCCTGGACTACTCCACTCCGCAGCCTGATCCTGGAGCATCTCCCTCATCCTCCCACTCACTTCACCGAACCCCCCCCCCCGCAGCTTCCTCCCGGCTCCCAGCCAGGGTAAAACGGCCAGCCTCCCTGCACCCGCCCTCGCACTCACCGTAGTGGAGCGGTTGGGGCCCTGCCAGCAGCCTGTCCCGTGCTCGTACTTCATGACGCTGAATTTGTCGTCCTCTGGCCCAGCCCAAGACCCCCACGTCCTGCCAGGGAAGCGGGGTGGGTGGGTGGCCGGCCCTCAAGATCGGCACACACCCCGCCCCCCCCTGCCCCACAGCCCTTCTGCTCTTCTAGAGCGCTCCGGATGCGCAGCTGACACTGCTTCCTTGGGATCCGTACAGCCACCCGGCAAGGGGGGTCAGCCCTTCCATCCCTGCAGAGGGGAGGCTGAGGCAGAGACCGCTCCGATGCACAGCTCAGCCTCTGAGCCACTGTGCCGTGGAGGCAGACGATCCCGGGTCGCCACAGGCTTGTTTCCGGAGCCAGGCTGGAGCCTCTTACCCCAAACTGGTCTCTGAGCCGCCGTGCTTGGGCTTCTGGGACACTCTGCTGAAGGGACAGAGGCGATAAATGTACCTGGGGGAAGGAGCGGAGAAGAGAAACGGCCATTAGACTCCACATAGCCAGACGGCCAAACCAAACCGCAGGGCCGCCAGGGTCCACCCCGGCAAAGAGGCCTCCAGGCAGAGAGCCCCTGCTCAGGCCCTTGGGGACGACTCGGAGGGGAGAACGAGAACTCGCATCGATAAGGCAGAGAAAAGATTCAGGACGGGGAAAAGGGAATTACTCCTTTACTCAACGAGGGAGTAAAAGGTGGGATTCGCTGCCAGAGGATGGGAGTGAGGGCCCCAGGGATACAGAGCTCGAAAAGGGGATTTGACAGGTTCACGGGGGACAGGCCGATCAGTGGTTGTCTAGCCACGGTGACAAAAGGGAAACACCCCCCCCCCCCCCCCCCCACTCAGGGAGGCAGTCAGCCTCTGACCAGCGCTCCCTCTAAGCGGTGGAGTCTTGTGAACAGAAACTCTACTTTGTGAGCTCCGGGCATTAAAGTTGTGAGCAAGCAATTCGGCTACTGCATGAATTAGTTTGCTCTTCTGGAGCCCTCCTTCCTGAGTGGAGACAAAATTCTGTGAGCCAGAGGCTTAAAAACTGTGAGCTGGCTCACACTGACTCAGCTGAGAGGGAACACTGCCTCTGTCTCCCAGAGCCAGGAGGCAGCATCAGGGGAGGGCCTCAGCCTCCCACGCCCTGTGGTTGGCCCTCCCGGGGAACTCATCTCCTGACGATCCCTCGCACAGGTCTCCTCTTCCTGGTCAGGTGCGGTCCGTTCGGGCGGGCCCCACCAGGATTCAAGTCAGATATCTGGCCTTCCGTCTAGAGCACTTCCCACGGTCAGACGTTGGCAGCCTCCCCCCCCCGAGGTCAGAGAAGGCGGGGCTCTGCCCGTGGGGCTGTTGAATCCCTTCCTGGGTGGGCCAGAACCTGAGGCAGGAACTGGAGACGAAAGGAAAGCGGAAGTCACAACAAGGGGGCAGAGAAGCTCGCCAGGTCCGGTTTCCGAAGGTCTTCTCCCCTCTCCCGATTCAACCATCCTGGGTCTCTGCAACTACTTTGCCTAGCATGAGTTTGACCGGCCTGGAGAGAAGAACTGGTCCTATTCCATGGCGACAGGACCTCATTTGGGAGAAACCCACTGTCTCCATCTTCTTTATGCATCCCGGTCCACGGCCTGGGAGTCACATACCCCACCCCCTTCTCCTGGAGCCAAGGGGGCAGAGACTTACTCATTCGTGGTGAGCTCGTAGCACTGGTTGTAGAGGTAGGAAAACTCCCCGTGGGGCCCAAAGTCAAAGGAGATCTCTTTCTCCAGGCTCCTGGAAGGAGGAGGAGAAGGGGAGACACCGTGTCAGAGTCCCAAAGCGATCAGTCTCAACAACGTTCCTTCAGAAGGATAAGGACATCAGAGACGCCAATGTTGGATCAGGCCA